TGCAACAACCCGAAATTCCCGAGTGGAGATGGGAAAGGATCACAATGGATTTCATAACCAAATTACACAAGATGGTAGATGGATTCGATGCTATGTAGGTGATTGTCTATAGGTTAACCAAATCCACCCATTTCCTGCCAATAAAGGAGTCATACTAAATGGAAAGGTTAACGCAAATTAATATATTGGATGTGGTGACACTTCATGGGGTGCCGAGATCTATTATCTTAGATCAATATAGTAGATTTAGTTCATGATTTTGGTAGTCACTCCGGAAAGCATTAGGAACACAACTAGATATGAGCACTGCTTATCACCCTCAAACTGACGGCCAAAGCGAGCGAACCATTCAAACACTTAAAGATATGCTCCGAGCCTGGGTGATTGATTTCAGTAAGGCAGGGGATACCTACTTGCACTTAATCAAGTTATCATATAATAACAACTATCACACGAGCATTAAGGTTGCTCCTTTCGAAGCATTGTATGGACGGAAATGGAGATCACCTCTTTCCTGGGCTGATCAGGTGGGAGACAATCAGATGGCAAGAGGGAAAACACCGAACAACACTCTTACAGGCCCCTAGATTACTCGGGAAACGATGGAGAAAATAGTTTAAATCAAGGCACGATTCCAATTATCGCGAGACCAACAAAAGAGTTATGTTGATAAACGGCGAAAGCCTCTAGAATTTTAAGTCGGGGATCGGGTGATATTGAAGCTCTCTCCATATAAAGGGATGATCCATTTTGGGAAGTGAGGAAAACTAAACCTTCGATACATTGGACTATTCGAGATTCTTGCCCGAATTAGTCTGGTGGCTTATAAGCTGCAGCTACCTGCGAAGCTCAACAATGTACACCCCGTGTTCCATGTGTTGAATTTGAAAAAGTGTTTATCAGATGAAACCCTCATTGTTCCTCTGGATGAGATCGTAGTAAATGGGAATCTCCTATTCGTCGAAGAGTCGGTTGAGATAATGGATAGGGAAGTGAAGCATACAAAACAAAGTTGCATTCCGATTGTGAAGGTTCAATGGAAAGCAAAGTGCAGACTGGAATTCGCATGGGAACACGAAGACCAAATGATGAAAAAGTACACTCACCTTTTCTCTACTTCCTAAGAATAGCTTTCAAAAGAATTTCAGGATGAAATTCCTTCTAACGTGGGGATGATGTCACAACTAGCATTTTTTACAAGGAAATTCTATCTATGTATGGTCAACTCTTGATATATCTTGTAACTCTAAGATTTATGTTATACAAGTTATTCATTTAAAAAACAACTATCCAAATCAAAACTCACTCATGAAGTCCAAAACCAAATTCAATGCACCACACTCACTCGACTTTGGGCTGGTAACCCTAATTTCCCAGTTCAAACCCTTATTGGCTCAGGAAATATTTATTGGGCCTAATGGGCCAATAAACCCACAACACGAATATTTTGGGTGAAGATATCTCATTTGGGCCCTAATTGGACTCACATTCGCTAAGTAATTGATTTTGGGCCAAAAAGCACTCACCTTGTCTTTATGGGCCTATCTGGGTAGAAAACCACTCATTTAAATACAATGGGCCGAAAACCCATATTTTTGCTCTTTTTGGGCCATAAGACTCATAAAGGGCCTTATTGGGCTAATACCCTCCATAAGTCATCTAATGGGCTGAGATCTATAAAATTTGGGCCTTTAAAATCGAAAACCTCATTAGGCCTAAAGGTTCTAGGTCATGAACCAAGTTCAAGCCCAAAATGATTTATTTCCTTTTCCTTCCTCCCATTCTCGGTTTATATATACAAAAAAAAAGTTTGTTTGAATTAAAATCTTGACACCTCATTGTTATCTAGAGGTTATCCATGTTAGTTACATCCCATATTTCTAAGTTAAATCCCTTAACCCTCCATGTAATGCCCAACTAATCTTCTCTCCCTTCCTCCTTAATATTCTCGGCCTAAGGCCATTTCTTCCTTTACCAAAATCATTCAAACTTCATTCCACTTCAAAACCTTCAAGAACTCCTCCATTTCCTCCATAAACCCGTGAGGTGGTGTGTGTTTCAACAAGTTATCACAAAATTTCATCCCTTTAGGTAAGTTAATTCACAATTGAGTTGATTAAATCCCTCTTATGTTAAGATTATTCTTCAAAGCAACACCATTCTGGTGTATACGCTTCTAAAGTCAGATTGTTTAAGAAGATCTTCCCAAGGGAGCTTGCTAGGCCGAAAACTCCTTCAAACTTCTCACCGAAACCGAATCCATCTCCCAACGTGAGTTCATACCCCCATTGTTTTCGGTTTTTACTATGTTTTGGGGGAGGATACAAGTTTCTTTTATGTTAGATCTTTGTATTTATGCATGTATATGTGTGTTTTCATGTTATATGTTGTGATTATGTTATGAAAACATGTTAAATCTTCACTATACTTGAAATACCTACTAAACTTGGTGATGTTTGTAAACTAAACCATCTTTTGTGACTTATTATGAAGTTGAAAGGATTAAACATGCTAAGGATGTTTGAAAACTAAATATAATCGTATAAGGGGCCATATTTGACAAATAAACAAAAAATGAGGTTTTTTTGACACTCACGGTTTTGAGAGGACCAAAAGAGTCATTTTTAAATAAAATGGATCTTTATGACATTCATGGTTTCAAAGGGGCCAAAAGTGTTAATTTTCACAAAATTAGCTTCTATTTGGGCCTTCACAGCTTTAATGGGCTAAAATTTTCAAGTTTTACAAAAATGGGTCTTATTTATAAACTTACGGTGCCATGGGCCTAAAGTGTCATTTTTACCGAAAATGTGCCTTAAATGTAAATTTTCGGCCTAATGGGCCAAGAATGTCATTTTGCTTTTACAAAAAGTGGGTCTTTTATGTCATTTTGGTAAATAATGGAGCTAAAACAAGCAATATAATAACCAACGAGCTAATTACGTCATTCTCACTTTTATTGGGCCTTGTTTGTCCATTTCATGTTATTGGGCCTTCGTGGTCCATTTACATGCTTATCGGGCCTGATACATTCATTACATGTTTATTGGGCCTTAGTGACCTATTTATATGCTTATTGATCCTGATAAATTCATTACATATTTATTAGGCCTTAGGGACCCAATTACATACTTAATAGGTCCTGTATACTCCTTATATGTTTGTTGGGCCTTATTAACCCATTTACATGCTCGACGGACCTTGGATACACATTTCATGCTTATTGGGCCTCATTCATTCATGTACATACCCATTGGGACTTGTAACCGGAATACATACATGGAAAAGTTATTTAAAGCATTAAACGGTGTGTTACAATTTTCGTGTAAACATAGTTAAGGTTCTTGTGAGACGTTCTTTCATTCATACCTACCTAGTGTACAACCTTCAGTCCTGTAGTTATATCCACAGTATCCTAGAGGGAGAGCGATAGTTTGTGTATAGATCTATACGGGGTTGACAGCCCCACACTTGAGTTGTTCGCTACAGCTAGACTAGGCCAGTCTAGAGTGAAAAATGTCTTACCTTAAACAAGTAGAAGCCTGAAAAATGTCATGACAGGCAGATCAGTCATATCAAGCTTGGTTATAACGACTCACATAGAAATTAGCTCCACTATAAAATTTATGCAATGCTTATACATTTCTGCAGTTACAATACTATACAAACACCATTTTACCGTGTTAGGGTTTAAGACCACAACACTTTTACCAGCAGAAAATATCAAATTTTCTGGGAAACTTACATTATACATTACCTTCTACTTAGAATAGAAAATATAGGATGTTCCGGGAATAGTCTCTTTATACATTTTCAAAACAGTAACACACATGCTTTAATACAAAACGTTTAAACCATTTTTATAGAAAATATCGGATTTTCTGGTGTTTACAAAACGATACAAACTTTTCATACAAACAAGCTTATGAACTCCCCAACATTATATATGTTGACCGTTTTCAAAATAACTTGTATTATCAGGAAATTGTTAAGCGGGTTGGTCGCCAAGAACACATGGATTTTATCGTATTTTGTTATCATGATACACTTGTTATTTTGGAATGTAATCTGTAATCCAATACACTTATGTAAACAATGATGGTTGTATTATTGTACGTGTGATGAAGATGTTGTCTTGATTCAATTATTTACATTGTGATGATATTAAAAGATGAAGTCACCCAACCCTCGGGCGTTTCTGCCGTTCTGGTTCGGGGGTGTGACAATATTGACGAGGTGAATGACATTGCCAACTATTTTAATTTTGCCAATATACCTCGTGTAACAGTGTTATTGCAGATGCTTTCGATGACTTTTAGAGGAGCGGAAAAAGATTGGCTCAAGGCATTTCCACCCGACGCTATCACTACATGGACTCAACTTTGTGAAGGGTTCATCCAAAAATTTAGTTCACCATCCAAGGTTGCCAAATTAAAGAAGAATATAGCTAATTTCCAACAACAAATGGGGGAGTCCTTATACGAAGCTTGAGAGAAGTACAAAGGTCTTCTAAGAAATTGTGCTCTACATGACTTGAACGTCTAACACATGGTGTCTATTTTCTATGATGAACGTTATAGCACGGAAACTCCTGGACTCTGAAGGACTGCTAACAAAAAAGAATTTGGCCATGTTAAAAGAGCTAGCTGAAGAGTTCATAAAGCACTCAAGAGAATATCATAACACATAGGAAAAAGGCGATAGAGGAAACGAGAATTTGGCTGCAATAGTAGCTAAACTGAAGAACATAGATCGGAAAATGACGTATATGGATCAATCCATACATATTATATGTATGGGGTGTGAAAATTGCATTGGGCCACATTTCACAAAAGATTGCGTCTTGGACGAGAAAAGTAACCGGAAAGTTAAGTGTACTATTCAAGCGGAGACAGATATGATGAAGATTGGAGGAGGATAAAGAAGGAATGGTTGCTTCGTGATGAATATATGAAGCAAAAAAGAATAGAAATACATGCAAACCAATCGAGTTTTTTTTATCAAAAAGAACCACCAGTCTTCTGCGCGTATCGCAATAACAAGTTGTAGAGAATTATCCAGTCGTAAGGATTGATACACGACAGGTCTGTGAGAGTGAATTCATGAAATTGAATCACAGAACCTTTGACAAATTTGAATTTGGCATTTGGAAAACTGTCAATCTCGATTGGTCTGGTGACCTTCACTGTTGTGATCTTGCTGGCACTCCCAGTCTCGTATTGCATCCTCATGTGCTTAAGATAAAATTGGAAGAGAAGTTGATCAGCACCATTATTAGAGACGGGGAATTTCTCAACCTTGATGAAAGAACGAAACTTGAAGGCTTTAGATGTAATTGTAAGATCTAGTTGTGAGTCCAGAGTATTTTGGAGTTCAAACGAAACAACTGGTTCTAACCAATACTGATTCGGTGAATCAGCAGCTTGCTTTGAATTCTTTTTAGTGTCCAAACATGAAACAAGAGTTTCCTGCTTTCAGTAGTGGATCTTGCTTCTCTTTTAACATTCTCCTTGGCTTCAGCCTCTCTCATTATTCTCTGATTTTAATCCAATTCAGCCTCACGTGCCTTTCGCCTTTTGAGTTCTTCTTCATCAAGCTCTTCTTAATCTTTGTTATCAACTATTGGATCTTCAGAAAAAAGATTGTCTTTGCCTTTAGGGTCAAATTCGCTTTTAATACTTGGCTTGACTGAAGTGGTTGGCTTTGCTGAAGTCTTCTTCAGTTGATCTCCCCCTTGATTTTTGGAAGGTTTCGAAAACCCTCCAAGCGATGTAACATAGCGAACACTGGTCTCTGTTTTTCAGCAAGATGTTTCCGAACTATAATTGTTCTGAATTCTTGTAGTTTTGCTCGTTTAGCCTGAAGAGACGAGCCAAGATTTGCAAGCACTTCATTAGCTCTCGTTGTATTGGTTTCAAAAGAAGACGAGAAGTTGTTCATAAAACAAATGGCATCAGAAATTAGTTTATTGACTTTTTCGGTCGTTTTGTTGTAGACTAAGGTAGAGGCATCCACAGCCTTGTTCATCTTCTCAAGATTAGATGAATACTCCTTAGTGAGGGTTTCAATAATGGACATTATTGAGGCTTGAGAGTAATCATGAGAGGAAGAAGGTTTTGAAGCCTGAAGCAAAGAGTCAAGCTTTTCATGGATGGCTTTGAGTTTCCCCTTTGTAACATAAGCTACATCATCACTAGCAGTCTGAATAATGAATAGACTGAAGGTGAACCCTGCTAAATCATCTTCATCATCCCCATAGATCATATCAGGATCATCTCGGTGCATCGGGGAAATAGGTGGAGAGATATGAGACGATGTAAAGCCTGATGTTCTAGCCCCCACATCAGATGCGTTGACTGAAACAACAGGTTCTCCAGATGTTGTGGGTGGAACAGTGGAATCAGTGAAAAAAGGAATATATAAGGGAATGGTGCTTTGAAGTTGAGAAGAAACAGGTGGAGGGCATTGTGCAATGGTAATTGGTGTTGTGGTGTGTTCAAGTGAACGAGGAGGAGATGGAAAGAAATCATTGTAAGTAGGGGTTACTTCAGGATTAGATGTAGCCTCTTCGTTGTGAACTTGCTCCTCCTCTTCATTGAGAATTGGTTGTTTCTCCTCATTCCAAACATCTGACTGAGTATCAAATTGTGAATGTTCGCTTTCAGAAGGTGTGGGGGACTTAGTCTTATGAGCAGATCTCTTCAACTTTCAGTTTTTACGAGCGACTGCAGATGGAACGAACTTCACCTTTTGCTTCTTGGGAGTGTTTGTAGGTTCGGATGGACCTTCCATATCTCCCTTTTTCTTTTCTCCCTTCTTGCCCCTTTTGTTACCCCCTTTCTTGGGTTTGTCTACTTTAGCTATAATTAACTACGTTTCAGGAGTTAAAGTACGAAAACCTAAGGCAGGAAGAGTACAGTAGCCTTCAAGAACTTTGCTGGCAGGAGGCACATCATCAAACATAGCTATAGAAATTGAGCCGAAAAAAGCGAACTTAGAAGAATCGGCAACAATGATTCCAGTGGTGTGAAAGGTCACAACTTTAGACATCAGGGCATCTTGCATAATTGGAATCTGCAACTTGGTGATGGCCCTCTGAACAATGATGGACCAAAAGCATGTACAAGATTTTTCTCTGTGACAAGTAGTTGAATGGTTACTTTGAATTACCTGGGCCTAGATAACAACACCATAGTCAATATGCAACCCAATATAGACGTCATAAATGATTGCCATGAAAAACTTGCTGGCACACTAAGATCTTGTTACCCTTTCAGAAAATGCCTTGAATAATATTGTGAGAAGTCCATTCCATTAGGGCAGAAAGTTAGGTTTTTGGAATTTTGAAACAGCAGACAAGGTGTCTTTATACCCCATTTGATAGAACATCTCTAACAGGGCTGAGTTGGAGATGGATCCAAGATCAATCGGGTCATCGGATTGAGCAAGCTCTAAGAGAGAAGTGAATCGAGCTTTGGTGATGGAGGTTGCTTTATCAAGAATTTGAAAAGTAATTCTCTGTTCCTCATGCAACACACAGAAGAGTAGGCCTTTGAAAGTAATGACATCAAAACAGTTTCCATCTTGGTTAGGGTTGTGATAAGTGGAGAGTATTTCAGACACTCGATAATTATAAGCATATGGCTGTCATACTTGAAAGGATCAAGATCAATGATCAGGTTTTGATGCGACTTGATGGTGAGAAGCTGAGATTGCCCAGTTTGTTCTTGAACAGAGGGAGTTTCAGAAGAGCCTGCCATTGCTGAGATTTTGAGGAAGAAGAAGATGAACAGTTGATTGCATTGATCGTCGAAAATCATTGAGAGAATTGGGTGAGTGGAAATGAGATATGAAGTGCCAAATTCCCTTTATACCATGCGATTAAGGAGAAAAACCTGGAGAGAGATTACATCGATTAATGAAACATCGGCTGAAAAAGCGTGATTTGACAACTATTCATGTAAAGATATACTTCATACGACGATAAAGTAGATGTCCGTTCAAAATTTCACACGCCCGTTTGAATTCTTATCTTCAGGAAATTGTCGCGTCAACATTTCCCTTTCGTAGTTGAGAGTGATTCCATCTGTCTCATATGAAAGTGATTTTCATTTTGAGAGAACATAGGTTGAACTGTGAACCTGAAACCGAATATAAGTACCACGAACCGGACTTTTGAAAATCACTAGGATCTTCGTGCAAGAGTGTGCCAAAGATAAATATATAAAACAATTAATTCTAATGGATGCTAGTGATGTCTAATAAGACACGAAACTATGGATCTCGGGCAAAGATCTCTTCCTTCAAAGTCAAGAGAGAATAAGAAGTGTATGTGTGGTTTCTCATTGAAATAAGATCAATTGTTTATTAAGAAACAATGAAATGCATATTTTATTAGGCTTACCAAGTGGCTTCATCTTCATCCAAACTCCGAAACTTAACATAAGCTCAAGAGTTGGACGAAGTACTCATGTGACCAGTGTAGTCAAATGAGCGAGTAGGTAAGGAAATATTTTGGTGACAAAATTAAATTCTAAAATCTCAAAAAAATAAAACTGGATCTTGTGGGAAGAAGTATCTTGGGACAAGAACACGTCATAATGATATCTCAAAAGAAAAAGAGATTTCTTGGTACAAACCACGAAAGTGGCTTTCGTTAATTCCATGGTTAAATTTTGAACTTTTTAATTGTTCACCTTCAATTCATTTAAGTGAGTTGGATTTTGGGTTTCACTCAGTTCGTGGTTGTACAAAACCAAGATCATTAACACAGATGTTGTGTAACCATAAACCTCAGTGGTATAGCTGAGAGTCTCAAGGGTTACATTCATGAGTGTAAAGGTAGTGAAGAAGCATGAAGGTGGTTCCAAAGAAGTGAATGTACCTCTCCTATGCGAAAGTGACCAAGCAGATAACTTTTAATTCAAAATGAGAAGAGTAAGGTAGCCCATGACTAATGTGAATTTAACAGCTTGGTTGGGAAGAAACGATTGGTAGGATTGGTTCATTAAGGCTTTACATTGAGTTGATTGAGGTTTCGGACAACATGCAACAACATGCTTCTAGGGACACTTAGCTAATACATAGATAAAGGGATTTATACATCCCTATCACACGAATTGAGATATGATATGAACCTGTTCCTCCATGATCTTCTTAAGATATTTTTGGTGTTTTTGTGATTTGTGAAAATAAAAGAAATAAAAATAAACACAGATAAAATATTTTTGTATTTTGAAATTTTCTGAAAATAAATTAAAAAAGAAAAGATTGAAAAATGAAACAAAGATAAAAAAAAAACATGATACATAATGTACCAAAGGAAAATGGAAAATTCGAACCACGAATGAACAGTTGACCGTGAATTACTGGAAGCGTTCGCATTGATTTGCATTGTTAAAGTAGACTGCGAATGAAAAGTGGAGTACGAACTATTGCGAACGTTCGCATCGATTCGCAGTGTAAACATTATGTATGTGAAAGTGGTTTCAGAATTGAATCAGCTTCCATCATTCCTAGGCCTTGAAAAATACTATTGAAGGTTGTTTCAGGCAAGGATTTTGTGAATATGTCAGCTAACTGATCAGAGGATCTTATGAAATGATACCTCAGTGCTATGTGTTTTGTCTTTGAATATTGCACTGGGTTGTGAAAAATTGCGAATGGCACTCTCAGAGTCATAGTACAATGGAATTCTTTTCATACTTAAGTCATAATCACGAAGCTGACTTTAAATCCAAATAACTTGGGGTATGCATGAGGTAACAACTATATATTCAGCTTTAAGTGTTGACAATGATACACAAGTTTTCTTCTTGGATTGCCAACTGAAAAGTTTGCCATCAAGAAAGTGGCATCCTCGAGTTGTACTTTTTCTATATAATCCACATCCTCCAAGGTCAGCATACGAAAATGCTTGTACGAAGAATCATGAGTTTGCTGGATACCAAATGCCAAGCAAGGAGGTTCATTTTAAGTACCTGAAGATGTTTTTGACCGCTGTCATGTGAGTTTCTATAGGATTCGCTTGGAATCTAGCACAATAACAAATGGTAAACATGATATTTGGTCTACTAGCAGTTAGATACATCAATGTTCCTATCATCTGACGATAAAAAGTCATATCAGCTGCTGTTTTTTCTAGAGATGGTGTTAGTGTTCCAAATGCCATTAGAACCTTTGCTTTTGAGTCTCCCATCATTCCAAACTTAATGAGCAAGGTCTTTATATATGATTCCTGATTAATGAAAATGCCTTCCTGATCCTGTCTTATATTTAACCCAAGGAAAAAAGTTAATTGGACCCATGGAGCTCATCTCAAATTTAGTTTCCATCAACTTTTGGAATTCAATAGTTAGGCTGGTATTAGTAGAACCGAAAATAATGTCATCAAGATATATTTGGACAATCATCATATGGTCACCCTATTTCTTGCAAAAGAAGGTTGGGTCAACCAAACCTTGTTTAAATTTGGACATTTTTAAGAAGCGGGTGAGAGTTTCATACCAGGCTCTTGGAGCTCGCTTCAGACCATAAACAACCTTGTCTAAGATGTAACAGTGATTAGGATACTTCCCATTGACGAACCCAAGTGGTTGTTCAACATATACAGTCTCTTCAAGTTTGCCATTCAAGAATGCGCATTTGACATCCATTTGGAATACCTCAAAGTTCTTGTACGCTGCGTATGCCAAGAGGATGCGAACAGATTCCAACCATACAACAGGTGCGAATGTTTCTTCATAGTTGATGCCTTATTCCTGGCAATATCCCTTAATCACGAGTCTCACCTTATTTCTAATAACATTCCCTTCTTTATCCATTTTGTTGCGAAACACCCATTTTAAACCTACAACTGATGCATCTGGTGGAGTTAGAATTAGCCTCCAAACTTTGTTTTGTTCAAACTCATTGAGTTCGTCTTGCATCGCTTGCACCCAATTAGAATGATCGAGGGCAACATTGACCGTTTTGGGTTCAACCTTAGAAACGACCGAGTCAAACATACAAAATTCCACTTTAGAGAATAATGTTTTGTGTTTTGCTTTTTGCTAAGATCTTGTAAGGACTCCTACAGAAGATTTGCCAATTACTTGGGTTCATGGGTGTTCTCTGATCCATTTGGTTTGTGGAGGATAGTTTGGATCATAAGAGGGATCCAATTCAGCATTTACTTCTTCAAATTTTGATTGAATGTCTGAATCATCATTCACATCTTTATTCTCCCCCTCTATTGACGAGAGGTCCTCTTCTTCAGGAATTGAAGTGTCTCCTATGAAGGGAGGTTTGTGAGTCATTATGGGAGGTGAGTTATCTTTATCTGAGAGTGGTTCAAAAGAGAAAGATGAAGTAAAACCCTCCCCCTACAATGGTATGTTCGTATCTTGAGGTGTAAATGGCTCCCCCTGTAGAGTTGCATTGGAGTGAGAATTCTCCCCCTGGAATGTAGTGTTTGTGTCTTGAGGGATGTTCGCACTTGGTGGCTGTTAAGCCAAATCTTGCGCATCATCGTCAATTATTTTCTTTAATTCATCCTCATTGTTGCCAGCTGCTCTTGATTCGGATGGAATAGCCTTCTCTGGCTCATCAAAGAGTAACATGAATTCCTCATACATATTGGCTAGAGGAATCGTGACTGGACTTGGCTTAGGAAAGATTTCCTTCGACTGACTCTCATTCAACTGAATCCTCTTCAAGTACTTGTCATCAAACGTGACATAGTAGGTTTCTTCCATATTTTTGGATCATTTGTTAAGAACTCTATATGCCTTAGAGGTCAATGAATATCCTAA